GGATAGGATGGTTCATATTTCACGAAGATTTTTAAGGATTGAAAACCGATACCCAGGAAACGTCACTTCTGCCCAGGAACCGACTATTATTCAGCAGGCCTTTCGTCGCCTTCCGTTCTTCCCTGATCTCAAATTTCACGCCCGCAAATTATTCCCGCCCGCATCGAAAGGCCTGCGGAGGAGGTAGTAGTATAGCGGTATTGCAAGATCACCTATATATAGTATAGCGGTATTGCAAGATCACCTATATAGTATAGCGGATCACCTATATAGTATAGCGGTATTGCAAGATCACCTATGTAGTATAGCGGTATTGCAAGATCACCTATATAGTATAGCGGATCACCTATATAGTCACTTGTCTAGATCAAAATTTTGTTCATTAGGGAAGAGGTCCATTAGCTGTCAAGATTTCCGCAATAGAGCTTATGCATAATGACGTCACAAGGATTGATGCCCGCGGGGAATGTTGGTCTTAGTAGTGATTGCCCGGGAAAATTAAACTATTCAAAATGGCCACTATCGAAATTTTCCCGAGCGATGATTACTATATAAGACCAGCATTCCTCGCGGGCATCAAGCCTTGAGACGTCATTATGCATAAGGTCTATTGTCTCGCAGATTCAGACAGTGTTTTTTTTCTGCCCTCAGTGCCCTGTGCTAGTTTTGCCAGCCGAAATCGCATCATTTCCTACAGTAACGTAATTCCCGCGTGATTGCAAGACCTTTAAAGGGACCGTTCATTATTTAATAGGGGGTGGGCTGGTACTTTTTCAACGTCAATTTATATTATTTTGTTGACCCCCCCCCCAAGAACAAGGGTTTAATTTTTGTGGCCCACCCTCTGTTGTGTGACCCAAATTCATGACCCCCCCTCCCACAATTCAACTTTTTCTCTCAATATCTGTACATTTAAACATGAACATTTTATAATATCAGCTCTGTCATACAACTATATACTTTTTAATATATTTAAAATACAACTGTATTTTTATGGTATGTATATAATATAAAACATATTGGAATATCAACCAATGTGATGTAGTAAAAAACAAACTAAAAAATAAATTACACAGCAAGTGAAGTGAGTCTTTCACAATTTATTTAAAATTTAAGTTGGCCCACCCCTTTCCTTGTTAATAATTACATTGGCCCACCCCCAAATCCATTTTTAAAACTCTGCCCCCCCCCAAACCAACCAGCCCACCCCCTCCTAAATAATGAACGGTCCCTTAATATAGACATAAAATTTGCTTAGTTTTGAAATATAACCGCACCGTACCTGGCGTTGTGCTGTCATTTTCCCCTGGCATAACACATTCCGTACATGGAGTGTTACCTGAAATTTTCAAACACGTTAAGTATGAAATGAAGTCGTAATTACATTTAAAGTTTGTTCGTTCACTGCAACCAGGTATATCAATCATAAGTTCTTTGAATGTTTGCATGGCGATAAAATATAATTGTTTTTGTTTGTGGAAACACCACGTAAATTTATTACTGCAAAGCTTTCGGATCGAAAGCTTTGCAGTAATAAATTTACGTGGTGTTTCCACAAACAAAAACAATTATATCAATCATGTTTCGCTCGCTACTCTTGTTTAAATAAATGTTTACAAAGCCCAGTCGAATTGTAATCAAGACCCAACGTTTCGACACTCCAGTCTGGTGTCTTCATCAGGGGTGATTGAAAGTTGCAATCGTGGCTTCTTAAATACCCAAGGGATGACGTCACCTGCCAATGAGATGCATATATTCCTCTGACAAATAGGTACCGTCATCTCTATTCAAAGCATGATTACTCATATTTTAAAAGATTACCTTTCAGTTTCACTAAGAAGAGAAATGAGAAAACAGCTATCAACAGACAGCCAAATATCAGAAATAGGTTCTTCTTATTGAACAGTCTCACACCATATGTTAACATCTTCATTCTGAAAGTACAGTGTAATATGAAAGCAATTAGCTTTTAATATTTCTCACTTTGATCCCCATGGCTCCATCAGCTGCACAAGATATTGCAATTATAATGAAACCCGCATTAAAAACTTTTAACTAGACGGCAACGACATCTGATCATATAGTATATGCGAAATGATTTACACTAGTAGGTATAACCAGGCTTTTAGCCAGAGTCCTGAAAGAGGGCGTCCAATTTTGGTATAACGATACTCTACAGTAAAGAGCGGGGGGGGGGGGGGAAACCGTTCCTCTGGAAAACCTTTGAAGTTTACGTTACTGCATGTCAGTATCTGTTCCAAGCTCGTTCGAAACACAATTGGCTTTGCCTTTGTGAGTTTGTGCCGCTATGTTTCTTAGATATGCTGGAAGTGCGACCAGGATTGAACATAATGATTTTTGAGACGTTCTCTGGTTGGAAATTTTTATTCACGAGCTTTCGGCTGCCAGACTGCAGCCTCCAACGGGTAGTTATAAAATACAGTTTATTTTAAAATTATAAAATACAGTGTATGCTGCAGTCTGGCAGCCGAAAGCTCGTGAATAAAAATTTCCAACCAGAGAACGTCTGGCAAAAATCATTATGTTTCTTTACTTAACTACGACATTTTCGTTCAGCCAGGTCCACCATCAAATCGATCAAAATGTCAAATGTATAATAATAATGAGAATTGAAGCTAATTCGTTTCGGACATATTAATATACGTAGGGAAATAATTGAAAATAATTTTCCTTTCCCACCCGGAATTTGGGCGTCCAAAGGCCAGTCTAAACGACAGTATCATCTGAACTTATATTAGGATGTTAGGGTTTGTAATCCAAGTGAGAATATATAAATTTTAAGACCTAACTAGCAACGACTGCGAAAAATGCAGCACAAGGTCCTCTGGTAGGAATTGAACCTACGACCCTGCGATACCAGTGCATCGCTCTAACCAACTGAGCTACAGAAGCCAGTTGTTGAGCTGTAACCGCAATTTCATGTATATATAGGTAATCGTGTGTGCGGGTTGTGATAAGGTGGATTAGCCTATCGAAGGGAAGATGGCTGTGAAACTCATTAGAATAACAATATAATTCATTATCTATGTTAGTCAACGTTTATTCATAAATCTGGTCCTTCACCGTCACGTGTGTATTGTAGTTTTCCCCAATCCGCCAATGGCAATTTCCAATTTATACCCTATTGTTCGAGTCGCGGATAGGTAACTTTCCTAAAACATTGCTGTTGGTTAGTTGGATGCCAACAAAATCTTTACATTTACCCATGTCAGATATTTATAGTCTCTCATTTACTGCAAGGAATGATCTTAGCGCGGTCATGCTATGTGATCAGTGGGCAGTCCGTGCTTCAAGTATAGGTTATAGGAATGGTTTCGAGTGCAATTTCATGGATAAAAGATTAATAAAACAGTTTTTCAAGGAAGGATGAGTGCTATTTGAGGTCTTCGAAAAACTCACGAGTGCTTGTTTTGTCCAAATTTCACGTGAAACCATCATATTACGTATTAATAATATACATAAAATGTTCTGTGATTACAAAAAAATGCACTGTGATTACAAAAATAATAATAATAATAATAATAATAATAATAATAATAATAATAATAATAATAATATATATATAAAAAATATTACTCGACTGTGATTAGTTGATTTCATTGCAGTTCGTGAATATGAAACAGCAGTGCAAAATTTATGATCACGATGCAATCATCGTGATCATAAATTTTGCACTGCTGTTTCATATTCACGAACTGCAATGAAATCAACTAATCACAGTCGAGTAATATTTTTTATATATATATTATTATTATTATTATTATTATTATTATAATTCATTTATATAGCGCCATTTCCCATAGCTCAATAGCGCTTAACATCAAGTGTTAAAAATATATACTAAGTGTTAGAACATAGTGCATGCATTAACTACTAAAATTACTATACTATAAAATTACTAAAAAATAATTATATGCTCTTCTCGTTAAGAATATAAAATTACTTTATGTTATGTATGTTGATAATATTAAAACAACAACTATATAGAATACTATAAAATTGCTAATAATCTTGTTAAAATAATAACTTAGTCATAATACTGTTTAAAAAGATGTGTCTTTAATCTGGTTTTAAAAATAGGCAAGGTCTCACTCTTTCTAATATACTCTGGCAGTTCGTTCCACAGTTTCGGTGCAGCATATGAGAACGATCGTTCACCATAGTTCACTAGTTTTACTGAAGGTATGGTAAGCAATCCTTTGGATGAGGAGCGTAAATTTGCTGATGGTGTGTAAGGTTTTAGCATATTATTAATGTAATGTGGAGCTGAGCCATTCAGAGATTTATACGTGATAAGAACAATTTTATAGATGATGCGTTGACTGATGGGGAGCCAATGTAATTGTTTCATTAATGGAGTAACATGGTCGTATTTTCTGCTTCCTGTCACCAGACGAGCAGCACAGTTTTGCACATTCTGTAATCGATCTATAAGAAATTTAGGTAGTCCGCATAGCAAAGAGTTGCAATTATCTAGTTTCGATGTAATAAAGGCATGAACTAGGGTTTGGATATCTGATTTTGATAAGTACTCTTTTATTCTTGCTATTTTTCTCAAATGGAAAAAACAGTTCTTGCAAATGTTGGTAATATGTTTATCCATGGACATGTGTTGATCGAAGGTTACACCGATGTTTCGTGCTGAAGTACTTGGTTGAACTATTGACTTAGATATTTCTATATGGTGTACAGCAGGACATAAACGATTTCGTGCATTGATTACAAGTAACTCAGTCTTGTCCCCATTCAATTTAAATTTATTTTGACCATCCACAAATCAATCTCCTTTACACACATTTCGATTTGTACCAGTGCTCCCGCTTTTCCTTCAGTGGTTGACTCAAAAGCGAGATATAATTGCGAGTCATCTGCATAAAAGTGAAAATCAAGATCATGACCTCTGATGATATCACCAAGGGGTGAAGTGTATAGTAAATATAGTATAGGGCCGAGAACTGATCCTTGTGGGACTCCACAGCGCAAGTCTTTAGAGATAGATTTAACACCGTCAATCACTACACTTTGCGTTCTATTCTGAAGATAGGACTGAAACCATCTCAACACTTGCCCATCTATCCCAAATCTTTTGAACATTCGTTGTAGTAAAAGTTCGTGATCAACAGTATCAAATGCTGCTGACATATCTAGTAATAGCAACACCACACACTTACGATTATCAATGGCTACAAGAATATCGTTTTGTACTTTTAATAGGGTTGTTTCTGCACTATGAAAACGTTTATATGCCGACTGGAAGGGTTCTTCTAATTTGTTATTAGCCAAGTGTTCCAGAAGCTGACCGGCAGCAACCTTCTCAATTACTTTAGACAGGAATTTTAAATTTGAAATAGGTCGGAAATTTGTGTATTCTTCGTAATCCACCGAATCTTTCTTTAGTTTTGGTTTCAACACGGCTTCTTTTAGTATCTCAGGCATACAACCTGACTGAAGTGACTCATTACTGATCTTAGTAATTATAGGTAAGAGAGTCTTCTGACAACCTTGAAAGATTTTTGCGGGCACTGGATCAAGTTCACAAGATTTTTTACCAACTTTATCAATAACATTTTCAATCTCATGTTCCGTGACTTCTTGAAAGTTAATGAATTTAACGCATTGTGCATATTGTTCCTCTTGATTTCGCTGATTACAGTGGGAAGAATCGATGGCTAGTTCTCTCCATATAATAGCAATCTTATTATTGAAGAAATCTGAAAATTTATTCACAAGTTCAGTCGTTGATGACGCAGTTGGATAGCGCTTTTCTGGCTTTCGATGGAGTAATTTATCAACCGTACTAAATAACACTATCTGATTATGTGCATTACTGGAAATAACCGATGAGTAGTATGTTGTCTTAGCATTCTTTATCATGGCATTCACTGTCTCACATTGTTTGACATATAACTGTCTGTCAATACATAGTCCAGATGCGCGCCAGCGGCGCTCTAGTTTCCTGCGATTTCTTTTTTCTTGACCAATCTCCTCATTGTACCATGGTGATAAAGGACGAAGAGTTATAATTCGTCGTTTTTGTGGAGCATGCTGCTGTAATGTTTCTTTCAACGTATTTTCATATTTATCAATAAGGACTGAAAGATCATAATCGTCATTTAAATCTAGTACTTTTAGATCTTCATTGAAACTATCCATGTTTACATTGTTTAATTTTCGATAATAAATTTCAGCTTGTTCTAATGGTGGTTTCTCTAACTGTAATGTACAATGTATGGCAAGATGATCTGATATTACTGGATCATGTATTCTGATACCAGTCACTAATTTATCTTCATTCCTTGTTATAATCAAGTCTAAGGTGTGGCCTTTCTTGTGGGTTGGCCCATTGACGTGCTGTTGTAAATTAAACGATTCCAGTATCTTGTTGAATTTAATAGTATCTGAATCTCTAATGTTGTCTATATGAAAATTAAAGTCTCCTGCCATTAATATATTGCCAGGTAATATTATGCAGGTTACCGACCGCTCATGAACCAATCAAAATGCCGCATGGTGCAGATGGATCGCCTTGCCATATTATAAAGTGCCATAGGATGTTCTAGTGAAATCTGACTCTCTTCCATGGCAATTCTAGACAGTTTGTAAACTATATTTTTCAAAAGGTAATACTCGATTTCACTATCGATTTTCCAAATTTCCAACGTCCTCGCAATGATTGAGTGCACAAAAGCTGAATCGTAAGAAGATATGTCAAGGCTAGTTTCCACTCAGGAAAATTATCCGTGGATTGGAACGGACAAGAAAATTTTTCTTTGTCTTATGAGCTCCGGGTTGGAACTAATGACTTTAACACAAAGAAAAATTTTCTTGTCCGTTCCAATCCACGGATAATTTTCCTGAGTGGAAGCTAGCCTTTAAGGGTACCCGCAAGGCTGCAGGTGACAGAGGGCGTATATGGTTGTCTATTTCGTAACTGCTGTTAGTTAAGTCTAAGTAAATTTATAAAATTTACATTTATTTATTCTATTTACCCATAACCTAACATGGCAGCACTTGTGGTTAGAGCGCGACAACTGGGCTCTCTAGCTCAGTCGGTTAGAGCACTGTACCGGAGGCGCTCGGTCGCAAGTTCGATCCCCGGCCGGGAACCCTTTGTTGTATTTTTCGCAGCTGTTTCAAGTTAAGTCAAATAAATGTGTATGAACGCACACTCGTTAGTTTCCATCTATACAAGACCCTTCAATTATTATTCAATCGATCGAGATCCCAACAATATCTCAAAATCGGTTGAGCGATAAACCCCGCAGTACTGACATCTACAGGAATCTATCTCAAGTGCCGCCATTGTCAACATTTATAGCGTGTGTACACGGAAAGGCGGAATACTTGGAGCAAGTAAAGAATACTGATTACCCTCTATATGTCGTCTTCCCAAACCACTTAGGCTTAGAGAAAATGTGTATGATCTTGTCTTTTGTAAACTATTGCTTGTAAAACTAAGATTTCAGTAGAATTCTTTGTCTTCAAATGTTATTATTGTTTAAACTATTCTGCATAATTTAGTAGAGTACATATACTTTTATTTATCGTAAATTTCTTAGTGTATTCCGTTGCCAATTTTAAGCTTTAGTCATTTTTAAGACTTCTTAATTCAGGATATATACTATAAGACGGTTCTGATAACCAAGAATCGTTACGATTATTGAATATTGAATTTTATATTTAATTTGACTGTTGAATATTACCTTCGTGCCGTGAATCAGTGTCAATTAGTCTGGTAGAAAAAATTGATGATAAGATCTCATCCTATATAAACAAGGCGCAAGTTTTATGCTGGCAACCCTTATTGCAATCTAGTTTGCTGCTCTGCCGGTTCAGAGGAAGAAGTGAGGACTTATAGGCTAATTCATAAGCACACAAGATTTAAGCGACGGTGAAATAATTAAGGTTTCCGACAATGTTGATAGTGTGTCATTGAGCATCTATAACAAACGTTGCGGGTTGCGTGACTGGCATTGTCACGCGATATCTCGTCTTCGTTCGACTCGGGCTTTAAACTCAATACTGCTCGCAAATATGTACACATCTCTACAATTGAACTTATCGACACCACCGAGATTTGTGGCGAGTTCTTATAATCTACAAGTAAACATGAGACTTAGGCCCCGTTTATACTATACCGGATTGCTGTCGGAGTGGGTCAAATTTTGTAGGTATCGAAAGGCTGTGAAGATCTTTAATCTCAGAGACCCAAATAAACATGCCAATTCTGTCAAACTAATAAGCATTTGCTACTATAACCATTGCTCCGTAGCGGCAAAAGAAGATGTCGTGACCAGCGAATCCGGTATAGTGTAAACAGGGCCTTAAACTCTCATTTTTCGGATTGTATTCCACCGCTTATACCCTATTAATGAAAACTTACAGAGATCGGTATAAGTCGATATTGTTTATAGTGAATGAATTCATATTTTAATGATAAAAGAATTGTACTCACCAAAGTTGACGAACTGGTAAAATCGTTGAACAAATTTACCGTGACATCGGCAACTTGCATGTGTTTTGAGCTTGGGACAATACCTTAATTTTATTCAAAATGTCTCCTGTTGTGAACGTCGCGAAATCCCTAATTATCATTTTAGGTAGACA